ACGCACGTCTTAGAATTCGAGATAAAAAAAATGTCCTCTCAAATAACAACATAAACGAAACATAAATAAGATACATTAATTTTTGAATAAGATTAATTTTCGTAATCATGGAATGTGAACTCCACCAAAAATAAAAAAAAAATTTTGTAAAAAAAACATGGTATCTGGTAGTCGTGGTTCTAAATACAGAACTACCGATTTTGAAATATTATCGGCGTTTAATGGTGAGTGGAATGCTTTGAAAAGTGGCGCGAGCGAAATTCCGTCCTCGAGAGTGGTGGTATGGCACTGGTGGTAGGGAGGCGCACAAGCCGTTCGATGAGTGAATGGAGGGGGTTCTGACAGGAACACTCCGATGCTGTTGGAACGTGGGTAAGAGGTGCGCGGGGTTTTTGGGGCTGTCCCGAGGATCCTCTCATCGTCGCTCCAGCTGTATCCCCCCACGAAACACGCGGACTACCGCGGCATTACGTCGCGCGCCGTCGAACGCGACTGTTGTCACTCGTTGGCTAAGTTTTTTTTTCCTCGTGGTGCCTGCCTGTTATCGACCATGACGATAATCCCCTAAAATCGCAGCAAAAATTACCATCAATACTTCCGCGACACCACGAAGACACCGGGCGTAATATTTGTGCAATATTTCCATAATTTTCCCCGAAAATGGTACCAACACAGTAAAAAAAAAATGCGAGACAAAAAATTTGAAAGTGATAAAACTGTTGGATTGTGATGAGTGATTTCTGGTGGTATTGAAATAATTATCATTTTTCATTTGATGATGATTATTCGTCTTGTGATATCGCGCATAGACCGGAGGCAATAGAATTGTTTTGAGAGAAAAAAAATTGATCTGAGGAACTCGGTCGGTAATTGGAATCGCGAGTGGAAAATGCGTTGTGATGAATGATCGATGATTAATGCTGATTGATCGATGTTTAACAAGTGTAACACGTGGGGAATAAATCGTGAGTTACTCGGGGGAGACTTCGGGGCGTAAACACGCCGATGGGATGCATCTACCGGTGGACTCGGTTGGCTGTGGGGAGAATTACGATTCCGTCGGTTCACACGAAGGCGCCGGTCTCGTAGGCTCCTCCCTGACACCACTCCGAGGGGTTGACACGAGGTATCACTGCGAGGAGGACGACGGGGGTGGCGGCGGTGGTGGCGGTGGTGGTGGTGCCAGGGGCACCGGTGGAGAAATGAGCGAAGGTGCCGCCGTCGGGGAATTGTGGTGGACTGAGAGACTCGTTGGTGAAGCTCAGGCTGAACACCCTGGAGAACTTGTCAGAACAGGTAGCACTATGCGTTCACTCATTCGTCATCTCTTCAGACTTTACATTTCAGTAGCGAAACGGTAAAACTTTCCAATTCAATTTTTGGCGAAATTTTATCACTGAAATCGACTCTGGAGGGACTAGCATTTCTCAGAAAGGGTTCAAGCCACGAAACATATCTAATGACTTTTTTTTTATGACATAGAATGGGTTAAGTTACGGCAATGGGAGAATTTTTCCACTTTCAATGGTCAATGGCATCTGTACCAGACGATTTCAGAGAAATTTACAGAAAACACGAAGAATGAGAAGATATAAAAATTCCTCAATTGTCGTGTGTGGAGCTGAGTAACCAAACTTGAAAAAATAAATGGCTCCAGAAGGCGACACTATTATTAAGAACTCATTCAAAATCAAATGAAATTTATTAATTAGTTTACACAAATTCATAGCAGAGAAATGACAATCAGTTTTTTGGCTTTCGTATTAGATTCATTTTTTTTATTTGAACCGTTTTATACCATTTCGCTACTGATTTTTTTTTGTCATTCAGTCCGTAAAAAATCGTTTTACGGCTCATAAATCCTTTCTATGGAAAAGTACAATTAGATCGCAACTTGTGCCCAGGGTCTGCATCCTGAGACCCTCTGTCATATATAAATCTATTTGATCAGCCTGACACCCATAACGCTGTGATTTTTACTCGGCTAATGAGCCATTCATTAATTACTGCGAATGTACTGAAAGTTTTTGGTAATTGTGGCGTAGAAAATTGTACTAGATGTGATTACAGATTTTTTCCAATTTTTCGGGGTAAACAATATTTATGTAGGAAGAAAGATGGCGTAAAGAATCTCCTACAATTTTTAGTTTTTCAAATAATTTGTTACTATTTTCATTAATTTTTCCTGTTGTATGCAGTAAAAAACTAAATTTCATTAAATATTCCAGGAAATCACTAGATTTCAGTTTAAAAAATGGATATAAATTCCACGTAAATTTGTTGATAAGATAAATTTATAGATAAATAAATAAATAATCAAATGAATGAAATTTCTATGAATTTTTTAGTTCCCAATTGTTTGGAAGTTTCAAGTTTTGTTTCCAAAAATTGTAATCCAATTTTCCAAGTATAAGAAATAATTGATGGGTAATTTAATTCTCGATGAACTCTATTTTGCCAGGATCCCCCTATTTTTTATGCAGTCAACTACCGACCCATTGGCGATCCAACAAGACTCTCCCCGTGGCCTTCAAAGTTGTTGCCCTCGGAGACATCGGTGATGGCACCCTAGTGACAGTTCGTGCTGGCAACGACGAAAACTGTTGCGCGGAATTGCGAAATTCAACAGCCCTCATGAAAAATCAAGTGGCAAAATTCAATGATTTGAGGTTCGTCGGTCGGAGTGGAAGAGGTCAGTGAAAAATATTCATTAAACCCCAGATCCACCCCGAAAAATCAAAGAAATCCTAATTGAAATGTCATCCCCCGAAACGAATGATCATGATGATGACGGGAATCCCCCTGTCGTGAAAAATCAATCGTTTCGTGGTGACGTATATACAGAGAAAATGATGAAACATCTGGCAGTGGCAAGTTGTATTAGCCAAAATCCCACCCCGTCCTCCTCACCGAACCCTCCTAGAATCACAGTTATTGTAATCATCATCATCGTCGTCATCATCAGCATCAACCTCCGGTAAACTCATACCCCCTTTCAACGTGTGCGTTTTCTATCTGGCTTTACCCTCGTCGACAACCAAAACTCACTCCACCAGATATCACGAGCTTTCTCTCTCTGAATTCCACCCTCTCGCTTGCACTATCCACCCCAGAGTCATTACTCCATGTCCACCCACCCCCCTATGGCCACGTGAAATAACTGGCCGTTAATCAGAAATCATCGTGCCTGCTGGACCCCCAGTGAGACTCTGAGTCCCTCAAAATCATGTTATCAGTCCAAACAGTTAGGAAAAAAAAAGTGGACTATGATGATTGCCCCCTTTAAACAAATAGAATAATATATTTTTGAAAAATATTTTTATCTGGAATGAAATCATCGAAGGAACCTGCGAAATTGATAGTAGTTCGGACTGTCGGAAAATTATGATTGAAATTTTAAGCAGTATTTCCACTCAGCAGTAAAAAATCCGGAATTTCAACAAGAATTCTCGAGAATTCTCTAATTCACTTGAATTCTCCATCTAATCGTAATAATCTCAGAATTATTAGGACTCTGAATGATTGAAGTCCTATTCTAAAAGGGACACGCTTGACACAATCGATTATCTC